ATCTCTATACCATTCATTTCATAACGAATCTCATCGAAAAGATGACAAATGCCGTTATTAACCAAGGTTGTGTTTGTAACCGCCGTAGAACCATCTTCCTTCACGAGCTTTCCGTATACATGCAACGAACTTCTACTCGGTAGTAAACACAAGTCTTGATGTTGGACGGAGATTCGTATTTCATCACTGTTGTTGAACGTTGACGATGCATAAGGCTGGTGTGCATGCGTTTCGCAGTGCGCTATAGACTCATCGAAGGTGATTGGTGTTCGAATATTTAAAGTTTCTTCCTCCATGGTAAGCAGCGGATAAAAATAATGCAGCAGCAGCAGAATGAACGATTTAGTTTCCTCTTCCGACTGGTGTGACCTTTAGTTCCAGATTTCTCAGGAATAACACGTTTTGAGGTGTTAACGCTTTGCAGCGCGGACGATGACTGATTCGTTTTAGACATATCAGTTCATTATTATAGCCGCTATTATAACCACTACCAATCTTTCGGTTATACACAATCCCCATTATGACATGGATTTCACGTGTAATCTTATCGTTATGACTTCTCCTTGAAAATTCACCAAGTCTCCGTCCTGATCGACTATTCGAAGCTGTAGGTGATCTATTATCTTGCTCGTTACTGGGAGGTAAATGACGTGCGACTGCACCTCTATAATCTTATATCCTGGTGGTACAACCGGAAAGAATTCGTGGATGGTATATACCTCACGTTCGTTTATGTAAGCGCCTGTAGTAATGTTGCATTCGACTCGCAAGGCGTTCACCTTGAGAATGGCTACAGGTACGTCGGATATATGTAATTTATTAGCTTTCAAAACGCGTTGAGTATAACCCAACAATCGACCAATCGAATAATCAGGTTAAAAATTGATTTCACGGTTACACTTAATTTTGCTGCACAGGGTATTATTGTTAGGCTTAATACTAATTAGGGTATTTTTATCTATCAACGCACTCTGCACATAGTTCTCGATATCCTCTATCTCGTAGCTACCAATGGGTATAACGATAACTTCATCACCCACATAGAATTTGTTGTGACCAGTGTCCACGTTAGGAATCGAATTAAAGGATAATAATTCGATGAGCCCCAGAGCATGACTTTTATCTTGAGAAAGTTCGATTGGGGGAAAGTACTGGGCTTCGAGTATAGAAGAATTGCCTGATAAAGTTAACGTGAATGAATCTTCCATGATTGCAAACGCTTGACTAACGATATAACATTATGCAGCATGTTTATATAGACGATACGTATTCTTACGATTTAACCGGCCACATAAGAATTTGAGACACAAGTGGCCACATTCGAAAGTATCATAGTTCTGATACCGTTCATGATTATATTTTACACTACTAACGTCAAGACAGCTAATGAGATCTAGTGGGGGGCGAAGATTACCGAAACTGTCAAAATAAATTACTGAGTCTTTTTTCTTCATGTAGGCGACCCAGTGTGTTCCGGAACCGTCCTCATCGTCGAGATTGACGATTGCCGATTCGTATTTGTACGATCCACCTTTTGGCATAGCATTCCGCTTAAAAATTCCACGAAAATGTGGAATATTCATGAGCCTGGCGTACTTGAGCAGATCTGCATCAGTTAACGCT